GGGCACAGATTTCAAGAGGGGTTTGTTTTCTTTGATTGACACACTATTGGAAGAGAGGTAAAATTTCATCCTCCCCTTTTATCTACATTGTTTCGTCAAGATGAGTCAATAAACCATGATAAAGATCTTGTATTGTCAAACTTGTTGGAATTAATGAGAGATCAGGCAAGTGATAGTTTTATCTCTGTTTTGACATAATATTATATGAGAGACCATTAAATTTGCTAGTGAAAAAGAAATATTATACGGATTTTGGTGTCATACTAGTGGCAGTTCAAGCATGTTTTAAGAAGCACATGATAAATCTGTGGCAAATAAAAGCTTTAAACTCAAAGATCTGCCTTATGCTGATGTTGGTTCCAGGAAGTCTTGGATGGTTTGACTTGGTTTACTAACACAATAAAGTTTTTAGTGTAGTTGTCAGCTATCATTATTTATTTCTACCGGAGCTTAAAGGGTAAAAGAAGGATATATCTTTCTTGTATCTTGAACCCAAAAATTTTAGTTTGACAGTGATTGGTTGGACCATTTAATAATTTCCTTTAAGCTTTGTTTTGGAACTCTGACAGATAATTCTCTTGTTTGGGATGCTTTGATAGAAATATCACCATAGCAGTAGCTGAAATGTATCTTTATGGTTTTTAGTCTTTTTCTTTTTCCTTTAAGCATGTGATACTTACCAACTTTTTAATGTTTTTGTTGGAATAAAGAAGATAGGAAAATGACATGTAAAAGATAAATTTCGTATAAACATATAAATCTTCAGCAACATTGAAATACGAGTTCATACAATTACAAATTAAGTGATTTCAGTGGTAAAATAATTATTATTTTTTTAGGATCTCGAGTTTGAACATCATGAATGATAAGAGTATAAACATTTAATTTTAAATAATTGAGAATTATCTTTAAATATATTTTTTGTACTTATTATCTCATATTATTAATAATAAAAAAGATATGTTCATACGGTGCATGAATGAAGTTAATTCATACGGTGAAAATCCTGTAAGTCGATTGCTGAGGAAAAGCACTTCGAGTAAGTTCGAAGCCTTGCCGATGCTCGCCGGGATCGGACCGGTTAGCCGGTTGTTTACGGATTCTCGCCGGGATTGGACAATGCTCGCATAAGTATTTCATCAGTAAAGAAATAATCATGCTTTAAGATTGTGATAAATGTTTTTAAATTAATTTTAAAAATATAATATATAAATAACTAGCATCAACTTAACACGTCGGTGATAAAAGAATTGTTATTATTCTTTAAAGTTTCGAATTCTAGTACCAAAAATAGTTAAGGTATGAACATTTAATATTAAATGATTAAAAATTATTTTTATATAAATATTATTTTGTATTTATAAAAAATTAATAATAAAAAACTACAATATTTGTCATCACGTCTTAAAACTGGTCATGAAATTAATTTTTTTCTAATTTAATATTATCTTATCCATTCTCTTATTATATATTTTATTTTCATCTATTATATAACAATTAAACATGTATTATATTATAACACGCATCAAATATAAATTACACACACACACGTATATATATATTATAAAATATCAGATAAAATGAGTTTAAACGAATTTTAACTAGGTATCAATTTATGAATCTGAATAAAATTTAAAACCTATATTTTAATGAGAAAATAATTTCAGTGATCGAAAATGCCTTATAATATAGGATTTTAACCAATTTTTTTTTGGATTTGCGAAAATGACCAACAAATTCGCAACGCGAAGTCCAATTTCGCAACTCAGTTTCAGAAATTCGCGTTGCGATAGATGTGTTTACCTATATTGGTAAATAGCGTTGTGAATTTGAAAATCGCATTGCGATAATACTGTTTACATTGCGATAGTACTGTTTACCTATATCGGTAATTAGCATTGCGAATTTAAAAATCGCATTGCGATAGTACTGTTTACATTGTGATAATATTGTTTACATTGCAATAGTACTGTTTACATATATCGGTAATTAGCGTTATAAATTTGAAAATCGCGATGCGATAGTACTGTTTACCTAATTCGCAACGCGATAGTACTGTTTACATTGCGATAGTACTGTTTACCTATATGTGTAATTAGCGTTGCGAATTTGAAAATCGCATTGCGATAATACTGTTTACATTGCGATAGTACTGTTTACCTATATTGGTAATTAGCGTTGCGAATTTGAAAATCGCATTGCGATAGTGCTGTTTACATTACGATAGTACTATTTACCTATATCGGTAATTAGCGTTGCGAATTTGAAAATCGAATTGCGATAGTACTATTTACCTATATCGGTAATTAGCGTTGCGAATTTAAAAATCGCATTGCGATAGTACTGTTTACCTATATGTGTAATTAGCATTGCGAATTTGAAAATCGCATTGCGATAATACTGTTTACATTGCGATAGTACTGTTTACCTATATTGGTAATTAGCGTTGCAAATTTGAAAATCGCATTGTGATAGTACTGTTTACATTACGATAGTACTATTTACCTATATCGGTAATTAGCGTTGCGAATTGGAAAATCGAATTGCGATAGTATTGTTTACCTATATCGGTAATTAGCGTTGCGAATTTGAAAATCGCATTGCGATAGTACTGTTTACCTATATCGGTAATTAGCATTGCGAATTTAAAAATCGTGTTGCGAATTTGAAGATCGCATTGCGATAGTACTGTTTACCTATATCAGTAATTAGCGTTGCGAATTTGAAGATCGCATTGCGATAGTACTGTTTACCTATATCGGTAATTACCGTTGCAAAATCAAAATTCGTGTTGCGATTTAGAAAATCTTGTTGCGATCTTGTGTTATGAAAAATAAATTCGAGTTGCAAATTTGAAATTCCATGCTGCGAATTTGACTTCTGTGTTGCGATTTACAAATTCGCGTTGCGATTTACATATTCGAGTTGCGATTTATATATTCGCGTTGCGAATTTGGAAAATCGCATTGCGATTTTGGAACCTGTGTTGCAAAATTGGAGTTCGCGTTGCAAATTTGTTGGTCATTTTTGCAAATCCAAAAAAAATTGGTTAAAATTGTATATTATAAGGCATTTTCGGTCACTGAAGTTATTTTCTAATTCAAACCCAACTTAACATATAGAACAAAGAGAGGTCTTTCCACGAACGCCTCTCCTTTGTATGTCCAAAAATAGAGTAGGGTTGCCCTTGTCCTCTCGTAACCGAACCGTGATAGATACAAACAACATATTTTCAGTTCCTAATCCTATTTCAACGCACTTTCTTTGTCTTTGTTATCTCCTCCTTCATCTTATGTATATATATCCATCTCTCCTCCAACTCCATTTCATCCTCCAAAACGACCATCATGTCTCTCCTAAAAAATTCTTCCCATATTTTGATGATCATTTTTGTGTCGTTGTTCAATTTTTTAATGACACCATCATTAACTACAAGAAAATATACCTTTAATGACACACGAACGATGACACACGCTAATTTATGACTTGCAAAATAGGTGTGTCATAAAAAAATGTCATGTTTTTTAAAATCTGAACGATTTATGACTTATAATAATGTGTGTCATATTTAATAGTCATAATCCAAAAAATTTGCAAAAACATGGAGTACACATTTAATTGTGTGTCATCTGTAAAAGTCGTATTTTAAATTTCCCCCCATTATTTTCACCCTTTCCCGTTTCTTCCCCCTTGATTCATTGTTCGCACCTTCCCAAATGCTCTGATTCATTGTTCGCAATTATTATGTTGGTAAGTAAAACCAAAACTCTTTCATTCTTTCAACCTACTTGAACATAAGTTCATGCATCATATATTTTCATTGCAACAATAACGACGATGTTCTTTGGGATTACTTTCCCGTTCTTCGGTGGTATTCTCGGTTTCATCGGACTCGCGTTTGCACCAACAACATACTTCTTAATCTGGGTTCTTTTAGTTTTTACGCACTTTCAATTTGTTAGTTGTTTTCTTCTTTTGAATGCACAAAAAATTCTGGGAAATCTGCATTTTTCTGTTTGGGATTAAGGAAAAGTTGTGCGTGAGATTTTATTTTTTCTTTTTGTTTTTGGTTCTGCTGGTTTTAAATGTTGATTGTGCTAAATACAAGAGTTGTTGGTAGCATTGAAACACGTTTTGGGCACAGATTTCAAGAGGGGTTTGTTTTCTTTGATTGACACACTATTGTAAGAGAGGTAAAATTTCATCCTCCCCTTTTATCTACATTGTTTCGTCAAGATGAGTCAATAAACCATGATAAAGATCTTGTATTGTCAAACTTGTTGGAATTAATGAGAGATCAGGCAAGTGATAGTTTCATCTCTGTTTTGACATAATGTTATATGAGAGACCATTAAATTTGCTAGTGGAAAAGAAATATTATACGGATTTTGGTGTCATACTAGTGGCAGTTCAAGCATGTTTTAAGAAGCACATGATAAATCTGTGGCAAATAAAAGCTTTAAACTCAAAGATCTGCCTTATGCTGATGTTGGTTCCAGGAACTCTTGGATGGTTTGACTTGTTTTACTAACACAATATAGTTTTTAGTGTAGTTGTCAGCTATCATTATTTATTTCTACCAGAGCTTAAAGGGTAAAAGAAGGATCTATCTTTCTTGTATCTTGAACCCAAAAATTTTAGTTTGACAGTGATTGGTTGGACCATTTAATAACTTCCTTTAAGCTTTGTTTTGGAACTCTGATAGATAATTCTCTTGTTTGGGATGCTTGGATAGAAATATCACCATAACAGTAGCTGAAATGTGTCTTTATGGTTTTTAGTCCATTTCTTTTTCCTTTAAGCATGTGTTACTTACCGACTTGGCTGGTCGGTTTGGTTGTTTGACTTAGCCTTGATATCAATTTATAAATTTGCATAAAATTTCATAGCTAAAATAAGTTTTATGCTTTGACCTGTGTATCTAATTCATATTATTTCTGATCCTTGCATTTGATTTCTTGTATTTCCTTCTATTTTACTTTAGGGTTCTAGTTGGAACTGGGCGTTCTTGTTTTAAAACTTTGAGGCCATTGACATATATTCTTTTGGCAGAGATTGTTCATCATGTCAGAGGGGACCTCTCCCTCTCACAGGTATGGATCTCAGATCGGAATTTTTTCTCTTCCATTCTTTTTGTTGTAGGTTTAAAAATTGTGATGGGTAAAGTTGACTTCTTATTCTGATGCTGATAAACTTTATTTTTTTGCTGCAGTTGTCACGAATTATTTACTTGTTCTCAACTAATATGCATGATGTTTCATTGTCACTAGGCATTCATACGACTTGTGCTCGTCTGATGTTAAATTTGGTACCCTTTTCATCTCTATTACTACCAAGTTTTCTTTTTCTTAAATGTGTAGCGGTGGATCACCCCATGTTTTACTGTTGATTGTATCAAAAAATTCCTTTCGAAATTTAGGTGGAATCAATTTTTGAGAAGAGGGTTGATCAGTCATCAATGGATATGGTATCTGGCTACTGTTTGATCATTACCACACTCTATTGGATCAGATATGCAAAAGGTATGAATTGAAACTTGAGAGAATTGTATTGCACTTAGTAGTTCTCTAACTTATCAAAGTTCTGCAGAATCTTAATAGTTAACAGACTTAATAGTATGCAATGAATCTTTAGCTGTCCAGTGAAGATTTATGATGCATGTCTAGCTTGCACTCGACAATCTCCCATCCCATACTGATATAATGAAAGTTATTGCAGACTATGTGAATGTTGATATTTAAAAAAAAGTTGATTTTTGGTTTTTTTCTGGACTATACATGGATGCTTAAGTTATCAAGATATGTGCGTTATTTGTTAGAGATGGGATTTATCTAAATTCACTTAGACCAAGAAAGTTTAGTTGAATGCCCTCCTTTGCTTGATTGATTAAGGATGTTCAGAGTTCATACCCACTATGTTACTCCTTATAATCATTGGAATCTATAACTAATTTTGGTAAATGGATATCAATCACCTTTTCCTCTTAGCGAAATAGAATTCAGTAGTACGTTTGTTGCAAGTTTGAATGAAAATCATCATTATAACCGAGAAGGATGGATGAATTATCCATATGTAAATAAAAGTATCCCCTTAAATAACAATGTAACTGTGAGAAATGAAAAGTAAAACTTTTAAAGCTTAAGATACCTTTACCATAAATTTACTTGATTTTTCGTTCTTTTCATATTACTTAGTGATGAGTGATGACTTGATAACCATAAATGAAAATGTTTTCTCTTTACAAATGTTTGGATTACTTTATGTTCTCACATGAAGATATTTGATGCTTGATTAATATATGCAAAGTATTAATTCCTATATGTCATCAGCAGTTGGTTCAAATAAGGAGTGGAAACCAAAGGTGATCAGCTCTAATTTTGGGAAGGGTTCAGGAACAGCTGGTGCATCTGATGTTCCTACTAGTTCAGTTGAAGTTAATGCTCATTTGTAGCCTGTTTCAAGAGTTCTTGACTCTAAAGAAACAACTTCAAAATTACAGAAAAAGCTAGAGGAGTTGCATCTCTCGCAACGTCGACATGTTTGATATTTGCAAAGAATGAGTATCTTATGTGGAAAACTTTATTATGCCGTGATATTTTGTATCGACATATGATTACAATATTTTTGATAACTTAATGTTAATATATTGTATGCAAATGGATTGCTTATATATAATATAATATGATATATATATATATTTAGTATTATGAGGCATTAAATGTAATTTCGTTTGATTATTTGTCAATCTATAATATATATATATATAATTTACGACATACAATCACGACACACAAATGTGTGTCATCTTTTCTAATGACGTGTGCTTCAATGACACGCAATGTAAGTCATTAATGCGTGTCATAAATTTATGACACACAAATATGTGTCGTCTTCATTTATGACGGAGGCTTCAATGACTCTCAATGAGCGTCATAAATGCGCGTCATAAATGTTTGTCATAAATGCGTGTCATAAATGCACATCATAAATTTATGACGCACAGTTGCGCGTCATCTTAAATTCATGTCGGTGGCTTCAACGACAAATGTGTTTCATCCGCACCCGTAGATGACGCGCAATGCACATCATTAAAGGGGGTTTTTTTTACTAGTGATTGGATCTCAACATGTTCGTCATTAACTATGATCTCGATCATGGTCTGGGACACCGGATGACTACCGAGGTTGAGGTAATGAGGATTTACGAGATGTGGCTAGTGAAACATGGCAAGAACTACAATGCCTTGGGGGAGAAGGAAAAACGGTTCGAAATCTTCAAGGATAATCTCAACTTTGTCATGGAGCATACTCTGTTAACCGCACCTATAAGGTTGGTCTTAACAGGTTTGCGGATTTGACCAATGAGGAATACAGAGCTATGTATTTGGGCACCAGGATGAACTCGAAGACTCGATCGAATAGACTCGTGAGGAAGGCTAAGAGCAATAAGTATGTGTTTCGGGTTGGCGATTATTTGCCCGGGTCGGTTGATTGGAGGGAGAAAAATGTCGTCGGGGCCGTCAAGGATCAAGGCCAATGTGGTAAAGTTTTTTGTTTTTTCTTTTCTTGTATCACCCGTTTTTACTATGAACAAAGACATTAATTTGATTTGTATAGGGAGTTGTTGGGCATTCTCAACTGTGGCTGCAATGGAAGGGATAAACAAGATTGTAACCGGAGATCTAGTCTCATTGTCGGAGCAGGAGTTGGTTGATTGTGATACTTTGTATAACCAGGGTTGCAATGGGGTCTCATGGACCATGCCTTTGAACTTATTATTAACAATGGTGGTATTAACACTGAAGAATATTACCCTTACCTTGCTTCTAACAATATATGTGATGCAAACAGGGTTAGTAGGAACTTGGATCATTTTAGTATGAGAAACTTTTATGTTTTTCAAAAAATAAAAAAAAAATTATGATGATGATGTTAAGTGTTGTAATCTGTATTTTTCTTGTAGAAAAATGCTTGTGTTGTTTTCATCGATGAATACGAAGATGTCCCGAAAAATAATGAGAAATCTTTGAAGAAGGTTGTTGGAAATCAACCTGTTAGTATTGCCGTTGAAGCTGGTGGTAGGGCCTTCCAGTTGTACCAATCGGTAAATACTAAACAATTAAATCTTTTAACACTTATTCTCTAGTTTTCGAAGGCTTAGTTCGGGTTTCACCGTGAGTAAATAGGATCAATAGTACCCTACAAGCTACAGTGCATTTAAACATGTTTTAGTGTGTTGTGAAACTCGAATAAAACCTAATTTGTCTAGTGCAGATAGCCTTTGTCGTTGCTCTTGAATAATGTTTTGTACATATAACATTGTGTTTGATATGCAGGGTGTTTTTACCGGTCAGTGTGGAACAAACCTAGATCATGGTGTTGTCGCTGTCGGATATGGCACAGAGGGTGGTGTAGATTATTGGATAGTGAGGAATTCGTGGGGTCCTAACTGGGGGATAATAGATACATCAAAATGGAGCGTAACATTGTAGGCGCCTCCACCGGCAAGTGTGGTATTGCAATGATGGCATCGTACCCCATCAAGAATGAATCGAACCCACCTAAACCTTCCCCGTCTCCCCTTGTACCCATAAGGCCACCAACCGTTTGTGATGCGTATTACACATGCCCTCAAGGAACCACTTGTTGCTACTTATTTGAGTATGGTAATTACTGCTTTGGCTGGGGATGTTGCCCGATGGAGTCTACGACATGCTGTGACGATTACTACAGTTGATGTCCGATGGAGTATCCCGTATGTGACATCGCAGCTGGAACTTGCCGTATGGTAATTCCAACCATATATCATTCAAGCGCCAGAGTCCACCATATATTAATTAGACATTTTAACCAAACATATAATAAAACTAACACAAGTGCACTAAGAACTTAAAAACAACTAAGGCTTAACCGGAAAACTTAAGAGAAGAGAATACTTTTAATTATACAAAATACATTTACAACATTACCCATTTACCCCCACTACACTCACAATTTTAACACTTTTTCCCACTTTTCCACTCTTACTACAATGGTAAAACTCTCTCCTATTTATAGATTCTAGTGACCATTGGATTGTTGATACATGTCAACATTTTAGTCATTTAACTTTATAAATATCTAGATTCTTATGATAGATAATTCTAGATACAATATTAAATATTACAAATATCTAGATTTTTTATTGATACTTCTACACATCTACAATTTATATATTTTTCTAGAGTATTCTTTTTTTAGCCGCCCTTCATTTCTAAGACTTCGTCCTAACTAATCTAGATCAACCCGAGTCGTACACCTGACTTTTTCCTTTAACATGTTTAATTCTAGAGTATTTTTAAATATATATAATTTGCATTGTCCTTTAACATGTCCAATTCGTATAGTTAAATTCATAACGTTTCTTTATGATGCAGAGTAAAGATAGTTCATTGGGAGTAAAGTTATTGAAACGAATTCCGGCTACGAGCACCGGGCAATCAACCAGGACGATGATCGTTGGCAGTGGTTGAGAAAGCAATGACTTTACCCTCCCTGGGTCATGGAGGATAAGCCATTAAATTCTGCAGAGCATGAAAATATTTACTTTTTACCGATTAATGACCCAAACGTACTTTTATTATTCTAAGCATGTACAATGCCTTCAAATATATGTTCTTTGATGTATATTTAAGATAAATTTTAATAATTTGCTTTCATCATTTTCTGTTTCTTTTTTCAACCACTGTCATTGATCTCTGTTAGTTCAAGAAGGTTAAAAAATAAACCTAAATAAGCCTTTATTTCATTAAAGTTAAAAAAATAAAGTTAAACTACATGTTTAGTAATTGAATTTTATTCTCCCTCACTCATTTCACTCGTTGTACTTAATTTTTTTTCAATTGACTCACTGAACTTTATGAATTGATTTTTTTTTTCACTCCGCCGTTAAATAATTAATAGTGCTATGAAATTGTCATATTTAATCAAAAGGACGTCGTTTTAGTCTAAGATTTAATTTTTTTTTCAAGAATTCGAAATGATGTCGTTTTGATATAAGTTGTCATGTCATGTCATAACATAAATTATTTAACAGCGGAGTGACAAAAAAATTCAATCTAAAAAGTTCATTTAATAAATTGAAAGTAAAAATTGAAAGTACAATTAATGAAATAGGAGAGAACAAAATTCAATTACCAAACATATAATTTACCCAAAAATAAACCCTAAAACACTAATAATTCTTTATTTATCTGTATTTGTTAAAAACAAAACTAAAATAAAATTAACAACTTGTAAAAAAAGTTTAATTTTACATAAGAAAATAAAATTCACAACTTGTGATATGTACTAATTCAGATTTTTTTTGAATATGTTATCACTTGATAAAAGGAATGTTTTAATTATAAATTGGTCCCTAAATTGGTCCCTAAAGTGTATTCATTTGAACTATTTTTTTTATCAGAAGCAATACCCAATTATTTATAATTTATTTCAAATGCCTTCAGTTATTCTTATGTTTTAGACATAGTTCATGTTAGATTTGAGTTTATACTATTTAATTTCAATGATAATGATAGATTTGACAAAAAGATCTGATTCGATATGATATTTTGATAGTTTAAAAATTATATTAAGTTTTTTTTAAAATCTAAAGACTAATTTGAAATCTTAATCTTAGTTTAAGGGCTTGCTTGGTGATAAACCATTTTGCAATATGTTTATATTACCTTAATAATAATGCATTGATTTCGGGATTGTCTCAGGAAAGGCGACTAATATACGATTAATATACAACATTACCAGATATATTAAAAGATATTTAATAAATTCGGTTTAGCGCTACCTATTATATTGACAGACTAATAATGTTTTAGGTAGAAAACTATTAAAAAATTTGGTAACCGGTAAACTTTGGTTATCGGTAAGTATCAATACATATATATAAGTGTTCATACTTATATCACTGTGGAAAATATTAATTTAAGGTTATTTTTTTAGTGGGTTTTAAGATATTAATTTAATAATTATACGCGTCTAATGATTTATTTTTTATGTTATGGTATATATTATTATTAAATTCAAAACAATAAACATAAATATTACATATTTATTATTATATTTGGTTAAAATTGTTAAATTTAAATTCTAAATAATATTTTATAAAATATCAAAACAATCAAATTATTTTTTTGTAAATGAAATTATTAAGTTAATATTGTAGGTGGAAAACATGAAACACTATTAAAAATTTTTGAAACATAAATTAGATAACTTTCAAAAAAGTATCGTTCATTTTTATAAAAAGTATCTATACTTTCAACATATTAGGTAAATTTTACCGATTTTGCCATAATGAAACTGATTTTGTCATATTTATACCTGTTATATTGTAAAGTATCGATCCTTTTTATAAAAGGATCGATACTTTTAACATATCAAGTAAATTTTACCATTTTTGTCATAATGAAACTGGTTTTATCATATTTTTACCTGTTATATTGTAAAGTATCGATCATTTTTATAAAAAGGATCGATACTTTCAACATATCAGGTAAATTTTACCGTTTTTGTCATAATAAAATTGGTTTTATCACATTTTTACATGTTATATTGTAAAATATCGATACATTTTTATAAAACATCAATACTTTATAGGCGCTATTACTGTTTTTCTTTTAAATTCCAAAAGTGTCGATACTTATTTAAATGTAATAGGTATGTATTTCACTATGAAAAACATTAATTTAAGGTTATCTTTTAAATGAGATTTAAGATATTAATTTAGTAATTATATACGTCTAATGATTTATTTTTATGTTACGATATATATTATTATTAAATTAAAAACAATAATCATATATCTTACATATTTATTATTATATTTAGTTAAAATTGTTAAATTTAAATTCTAAATAATATTTTATAAAATATTAAAATAATCAAATAATTTTTTGTGTAAATGAAATTATTAAATTAATATTGTAGGTGAAAAACATAAAACACTATTAAAAAATTTTGAAACATAAATTACATAACTTTCAAAAAAGTATCGATCATTTTTATAAAAAGTATTTATACTTTCAACATATTAGGTAAATTTTATCGGTTTTGTCATAATGAACTGGTTTTGTCATATTTATACTTCTTATATTGTAAAGTATCGATCATTTTTATAAAAGGATCGATACTTTCAACATATCAAGTAAATGTTATTGTTTTTGTCATAATGAAACTGATTTTGTCATATTTGTACCTGTTATATTGTAAAGTATCTATCATTTTTATAAAATGATCTATACTTTCAACAATTCAAGTAAATTTTACCGTTTTTGTCATAATGAAACTGATTTTGTCATATTTTTACCTGTTATATTGTAAAATATTGATACATTTTTATAAAGTATCGATATTTTATAGGCGCTATTATTACTTTTATTTTAAATTCCAGAAGTGTCGATACTTATTTAAATGGAATCGATACTTTCAACATATCCGGTATGTAGTTTAATATAATAGGTAACGCCTATTTTTTTACCGTTTACATTATTAACAACCTTAAAAAAACGGTAGGTATTTTAATGTAATAGGTATTTTAAATTTTATTAACATTTATTTCTAAAGTAAGTTTATTATAACTGATAACAAATTAAGTAAGTAATTATCTATTTTATTACATAAGCGCTATATAATATGTTATTATACTTGATAATGTTTCCAGTAATTAACCGATTATGTTATCCTTGGTAACATTTTAGTATGTTGTAATAGCAAATTAAGTAATTATCCTATTTTAATATATAAACGCTACCTATTACGTTATATAAGTGTTACTTAATATGTTATTGTGCTTGATAATGTTTCCAGTAATTAACTTATTTTATTATATAAACACTACTTATTATATTATATAAGCGTTATCATTTACATTATATAAGCGGTACCTAATATGTTATTGTGCTTGATAATATTTCTAGTAATTAACTTATTTTATTATATAAACGCTACATATTCTATTATATAAGCGGTACCTAATATGTTATTGTGCTTAATAATATTTTCGGTTAAATGATATAACATAATCGATCTAAATTTTAACTGATCACTTATTTAACCGATCACGTCATTTTTAACCGTTTTTTAAACGCGGCATCACATAACTTCCCTTGATTTCATCGTGGAATAGAAGGTATATTATTATCCTACGATAGGTTCAAGTCAAGCAAAAATCATATGAACCGTTACGATCTTCAAATTCATTTTCCTCTATATCAACGGTTCAAATTCATCAACCACGGAAAGCACGTGATCCGACGCCGAAAACCCACACCTTCAAATACAACGCCATTGGAACACTGATAATTTTTCCTCGTTCGTCTTGTTAGTCTTGAAACCCTAATTGATTTGGTTCTCGTTTCTGCAATTTACTGCTTATGTGTTTCTTTAAATCGTACATTCGAAGCAAGGTAAGATCTTCGTCATAGATCTTAATCTTTTTAATCAAATCGTTTGAAGGGATCAGTTTGGTTGTGAACTGTTATAGTTTTCGAAGGTTGATTTATGGTTTTTTTATAATACTTGTTAATTTATAGGCATTAGTTCAAATCAATACGGTATTTAGAAATTCATGATTGTCTTCACTTGGGGCACGAAGTACAAGAACTGCATGTTGCTCGTAGCATTTTTACTAATTTTTATTAGCTGAATCTTATACATTATACTTGCAGTTGTAATTCTGGGGACTATATAAACTGGTGTCTCTTATACTGGGTCTTTGAAGTTCGAATACTTTAGCTTTAGTCATTATCAAGACTTCTAGGAACGACGGAATGGCTGACTTACCTGCTGAATCGCCAACTCCTACTGCAACAGATTCAGGCTCGAAAAATTCTTCTACTACTTCACAGGAAGCTCCATCAATGCTTTCATCATGGACTAGAAATTTAAAAATTCCTCAGCCATTTGTTGCAGCTCAAGAGGACTCATCAGCAGCAGGGAATGCTGGACGATCACCTTTTTCGAGGTTTACTAGTGGGTTAGGATTGCGCTCACCAACAAAGTCTCCCACTGCGGATGATAACCCTGATGGAGCTTCAACACCAACCCAACCTGGTTTTCTTGGAACAATTACAAAAGGCATAGTCTACTCGTCTAAAAATGCAGTTAAAGCTGTGCAGGTTAAGGCTCGGCATGTTGTTTCGCAAAACAAACGAAGATACCAGGTGATGCTTACAATTACTATAGAGATGTGCTTCCAACCTTTTTAGAAAATTTTATTTTTGTTGTCTATCTCCGTATATGTAAACTTACCTGTGCACCATCCACTCAGGAGGGAGGATTTGACTTAGATATGACATACATCACTGAGAACATAATTGCTATGGGGTTCCCTGCTGGTGACATGAGCTCTGGGTTTTTTGGTTATGTTGAGGTAGATAAACTAATCTATATTGAATTTGGCTATCTTCTTTTAGTTAGACTAAGAATTCTATAATGTGGTGCAGGGGTTCTATCGAAATCACATGGAAGAAGTTTTTCAGTTTTTTGAAACAAATCACAAGGTAATGACATGTCTATTGATCTATAATATGCCTCTTTTTAATCCTCGTTTCCTCCACAATGCAGCCGTAGGTATTTTTTGTTTTATAGTGCTTTAAATCATAGATCAAGGAAAACAAAAACTTGGTCTAGTTTGTTTTTGGTTGGCAGTATTTTATGATACATCTTAGCAGATGATGAATTGTGCATTTCGGCATAACAACTTATTAAAATACTGTTGGTTTACAGAGTTTTTTGTTGCCTCTTCTTTTAATATGTTTTCAGCTCTTTGAACATGGTAACTGGCTTAGCTTTTAGTCTGCTCTGCACCATGCCTGCTCTCGCACTTGTCTGTATTTACTTTGTTAAAGAGCAACTTCACTAGTCTAATATCAAGTTCCTGACATATACCTTTTTCCTATTACATTCACCTTTCATTCAATATGAAACTTGTCGTTTGGGGTTTGCCGGAGCTGTTAAAATGATTGTCACTGACTATTTCGTTGATGCACTAAAAAGAGTTTGGGTTTGAAGGGGCATTTTTGTTGCTAGTTCATATGTATGTGTATGTTTCATCCTTGCATCATTGGCATTATACTGTTTGATCCTAGAATCTATTTACTTCTATGCAGGACAAGTACAAAGTGTATAATCTTTGCTCTGAGAGGCTGTATGATGCTTCATTATTTGAAGGAAAGGTATGATGTGGGTGTAACTAACTATACGTTGCTTCCACCTGGGCTTATTTCTTCAATTGTGATTAGCTTTGGCTGTGTTCCCTGTGTCTATCTTGTACATTTGATAAAAGATCGTCTTGGAGGTCTCTTAAGCAAATAACCATATCATGCGATGTTAACTTCTGCAAATAGATTTAGACTTCCATTTGGCTTGAACTGTGGAGCAAATCAGAAAAACTCTGCCACTAATTTCTTCTTAAACTAGTTGCCTATGGAATCCATTATGAGTGGTTGGGCAAGAGTATATTTCTTTTTCTTTTGAAGGTAAGCAAGAGTCTGTTTCACTCAATGATGAAAACCAGTTGTTGGCAGAAGATAATATCTTAGAAGAGTCAGTTCCATCTAATCTTTGATAAACCTTTGCTACCATTTTTTTCCCACTCATACATGCATAACAGCAAATACAGGCTGTTAAAACTTGCTGTAAGATGACCTATGAAATAAAATTATACATCTTACAATTGATATTGAAGTTTTTCTTCAGGTGGCTAGTTTCCCATTTGATGACCATAATTACCCCCCTATTCGATTGATAATATCTTTTTGTCGAAGTGCTGACTCTTGGCTGAAGGAGGATATTGAGAATGTTGTGGTTGTGCACTGTAAAGCTGGGATGTCAAGAACAGGGTTGATGATCTCCAGCCTTCTTCTGTACTCGAAGGTTCGACCCAATGAACATGTTCTTGAAGAAATGGGAGTGAATTTAATATAGCTACACATTTCTTGGTCACAATAATTAGTTCTTTCTTTAACTTGTTATCTCTTTGCAGTTTTTCCCCACTACTGAAGTGTCGATGGACTATTACAACCAGAAAAGATGTGTGGATGGAAAGGGGCTCGTTTTACCGAGTCAAATTGTGAGGAGTTGATTTCTAGTGGTTTCCTTGGTTTGGTTTCTGGAAGCTGTTTATATCATGTCTGATTGCCATATATTTTCCTTTTATGCTCTCTAGAGATACGTCAAGTACTTTGAACTCATCTTAACATGTTTCAATGGTGAAGACCGGCCTGGGCGCAGGTATTCTTCTGGCAATGCAATGTTTATATTTTATCTTTGGTTTTATACTAGTGCTGACATTATGTTTATACAGGTGCATTCTTAGAGGATTCCGGCTTCTTCGTTGTCCTTATTGGATTAGGCCCTCCATTACAGTGTCTGATCATAATGGTATGGTATTTTTTGTTTGAACGATGATTGGTGCTTCTTTTTGTTATATACACGGAGTTTCTCATACACACATCAGATGTTTTTGATGAATAAACTAACTCCTATTGATGGACATGAAGATGAGGTTTTCTGCCCAAGCTTTTAGCAGCATGCATTTATAGGAATATCAGAATCATATTCAGCATTAAGCCATTAACTGCTACTGGTTTAGGGCATAATACTGGTTTAGGGCATAATACTGGCTTAGTCGTGTTTAAAATACATAGTTGTAGTCTCAAATTCTTAATTTATGTTTGAATCTTCCTGATAACAAGTTAATTACGAGAGTAATCTCATGAGGCTATAATTGGCGTAATTTACTTCCTTGTGCCTAAGTTGCAAAGCCACAGTTTGCTAGTCTTCATCTCTAGTTACAGGCTTACAGCTCATTAGAGGCATTTTCATTTTGAATTAATCTACGCAATCCTAGAGGTAGAAAGCATGGAAATTCATGGGTAATGCTGGGGCCTGGATTTGGAATGCTTTAACAGGCAGTTGCAGAACTCTCAGCCATTGTTTCATATTAAATTTTCAGATGCGTTCTTTCCTAAAATCCGTGTGCCTTTCAACCTGTATAATCATTTTGACCTGCAGGTGTTCTCTTCTCCACAAAGAATCATCCACGTACCAAGGATCTCTCTGTAAGTTCGGTTTTATTTTAGTTAGTCTGATCGCCACATATGTTCTTTTGAAAAATTCCATTTGAATCTCTAGAGCTTCCTTACACCAATTTGAAGTTTTGTGCATGTAATTACAGCCAGAAGATTTTTGGTTTAGCGCACCGAAGAAAGGAGTTATGGTTTTTGCTTTGCCCGGGGAGCCTGGTTTGTCTGAGTTAGCTGGAGACTTTAAAATTCATTTTCATGATCGCCAAGGAGATTTTTACTGGTCTGTAATTAGCCCCCTCTATGTTAAATTAGCTTGTTGACTCGTATTTATTAACTGATTTTGCTGTGATTCTGTCCTTTTGAACTATCAGTTGGTTAAACACAACAATGATTGAAAACAGAAAAATCCTGAATACCAGTGATCTTGATGGGTTTGACAAGGTAAAACAAGAAAATGTTATGACGAGTCGATTTTATTTATGTTCTGTCAAAATGACTTGTGATCTCCATTTCTTTATGTCTGGTTGAAATATCGTCTTCTCTGGTGTTATCGCCTCGTTCGGATAATGTGTGCAGAGGAAATTACCTGCACCTGGCTTCCAGGTTGAGGTTGTGCTAGTAGATTTTAGTGACCCTGTTCCGTCGAAGCCACCAACCGAAACTGCTTCAAATAAGCCAGAAGAAAGCACAGGCACCAGTGCTTCACCCGCTGATGGAGGTGCAGCAGCCCCATCGAGCAATGATAAAGACCCTGGATATAACAACAAAGATGATGTGTTCTCAGATGGTGAGGCGGAAGGATCTCGTTCGTCAACGAACAGGCAGCAAAATTCATCCATCCCCTCAGCCGCCACCACCACCAAATCTGAAACGAGTACCGATGCTGATGTGGATCAAGTTACAAGTTTAGTGCATTCCACCGAACAAGTTTCTTTAGGAAGTGCAAACGCCCAACAGACGCACTCCACTAGTAACCCTATAAAAGATGCCGCCACCGCAACTGCTGCGGGCACTGGAGTTTGCGGCTCGGAAAGTGAATTCAAGGTAATGGCAGCTGACGCATCTGTTTTCAGTTTTGGAGATGAAGACGACTATGAAAGTGAATAATTCTTCAACCCTATTCATTGTATTTGTATCATTACGGTCTGGTTCCAGCTTACAGTTCAATTAACTGTTGTATATCACAAAATACTGCCATGGCTCGCTGTTACAAACTTACATATATAATTCAGATTTTAAATTGAATCTCAAAACTTCAAAATATTATATTCGAATCCTTAAATTATCAATATGGTTTCAATCATGTGACAATAGACGCTTAATAATCCTGTTGCAGTGCTATAACAAGTGACATTTAAAAATAATAATAATTCTTTTAACCACTAAGATAAATTGATTTGTATATCATGTAATTATATTAATATAGCTATCAACTTACGTATTAAATGCCAACTCAAATATGATATAGAATATACGACCAAAACATATTTAAAATATGAGGATTATATTTTAAATACATGCAATTATCATATGGTAACTTGTATACAATTTAAAGAAAAAGGAAATAACCTCTACTTTTAAAATTTTATTTTTTATACATTAAAAAAAATACATATTTTAAATATATTATACGTCAAATTTAAAGACTAATTTAGAAATTGAATATAATTTAGGGGTGTAGGATAAAATTAACTCTTGATAGCCCAAATAACGCCCTCTCCGTAAACTTCTGCTCCATCACCACTTTGAGTGCCGATTTTGCTCATCAGAAGGGAGAGGAATTTTCGGTGCAAAATGAGAGGAAATTCAATACAATCACGGCGAACAATTTTGGCTGGTTTGAAAGATTCAGCATCAAAATGTAAGAAAAAAATTGCTTTTAAATTCAATCAAATTCTCTCTTCCACCATTAATACCTTCGAATCAAAAGTAATAAAATTATACCCCGATTCTCCGTTCACAGTTTCGGGGGGTGTATTAACACTCGTTTTCTTCCCATTTTTTACTGCTTTTTCTCGGTCCCCATGTCGGGTATTCAAGGCCAGATTCTTGAAGTTACCGGTAATTACTTTTCTCGGATTTAGATCAAATTGTGTAACCTTGTTTTGACGTTGAATTCATATGGGTTTTTTTAACAGTTGTGGCGTGTAAAAAGTTGAAGGATACCGAATGGCTTTCGAGGCAAGATCCCTACGTTTGCCTTGAATACGGTAGCTCCAAGTACCGTACACAAACCTGCACCGGTAATTCTCTCTTGATCTAAGTCAAGCTTTTATGTTGATATGCATTTTCACGAGCTTTCTTTTCTTAGATTTTAGGGATCTTTGTTACAATAAATTTACATATCAATGAAATCCATCTCTTAAAGAATTGATATACAATATATGAAATCGATAGGATTTAACATGGTTTAATATTTTGTAGGGTAAATTACGTATTTAGTACATAAATTATTAGTTTTGATCCATTTTAGTATTTATTTTATTTTATTTTATTTTAGTACCTAAACTATAAGTTTTGGTCCATTTTAATACCTAAACTTTCAAAAAAAAATCAAAACTTAACTTTAAATTTTGAACAAGAGTACTAAAATAAAACAAAAACAAAAGTTTATGTATGGTTTACTAAAATGAACCAAAATTGATAGTTTATGTACTAAATATGTAATTTACCCTATATTTTTATATATACTAATAAGAAGAAGAATAATCCACTAAATTAAATTTGAAGATAGAAACGAAAACTGATTGTATCTCAAAATAATTCTCTCTCGGTCAAAATATTTGGTCATGAAAAAACTTAATTCTGTAAGATTAATAAAATAAGGATTTATTTATTAAATAAATTCAATTAACAAATAATCTTTATTTCTAAACTTATAATAAAAATCTAATTTAATTCTTCATTAAAATTTAAGTTAATAACTAACTATATCTAACCCAAAAACTATTCCAGATTACATGGTGCAAGACAAATAAATATTAGGGTAAAGTATACAAATACTCTCCGATTATGTTACGTTGTCTTATTGAGTCATTGGCCATTAAAATTACAAAATTATCTTCTGATTGTAGGGTATTGTTTTGTTGATCCCCGACTATTAAAAGTTACAAAATGATCTCTGACTATAGAGTGTTGTTTTGTTGAGTCTTTTGACTATTAAAAGTCACAAAATAGTCACCCGATTATTCATGTGTTCTAAACTCGTCATTTTTTGTTAAATATAATTTGAGTTTGACGTTAACATGCTTATTCAAATATGATAAAATCATATTTTGGTAATGTCTACTAGCACCGTTGTTGCTTTCTAGCATTGGTTCGACAACATAATGTAATAGAGACTCATGAATAAGCGGTTTAGAAACATACGAATAATCATGTGATCATTTTGTAATTTTTAATAGTCGAGGTACTCGATAAAACACCACCGAATTCTGGGTCTGATTTTATAATTTGGGTATTGTTTCTAGATGGTGGGAAGATGCCCATATTCCAAGAGAAGTTCACCTTCTCCCTAATCGAGGGGCTGAAAGAGATGCATGCAATGGTTTGGAACAGCAGCACTCTTTCTGGTGATGACTTCATTGGATATGGAAGGTAACAACAATAAAATAAAATTTCTTGCTTCTTTAACTTGGGATTAGGGTTTCTAATCTTGATTTCTGGGATTCCATTATTATTTTCTCTTAACAGAGTTCAATTGCACAAGGTTATTTCCAAAGGTTTTGATGATAACTGTTGGGCCCTCCAAACTAAAACCGGCAGGTAACTATTATCTATTATTATTTTTTACTTAAAAATCTTAGTTTAATCATTCACATCATTAGTATTTTTCATTAAAATATACTAATTTGACATGTTTGACTTTCATCGAGACGTCATTCTATAATCATTCACATCATTAGTATTAACATCATTTTAATCTTTGAAGTATAAAGATTAAATTTGAAGCTTTTATATATATATATTTCAGGTTTGCAGGAGAAGTACATTTGATAATGCATTATCCGAATGCTAGAGTAAGTCCATCTATTGCTAATATCATTCAAGTTTTTTTTTTTATAAAAAAATCATTTTTATCGTTATATATGATCAAATAAATCGATTTATTGCTAATATATATATATATATATATATATATATATATATATATATATGGGTGTTTGATTAAGTACTTGATCGAGTTGAGTATAGTCAAAAGATATCGAGTTAATTGAGTTGACAAATCTTATTTTATAATTTAAACTTTAATTGAAATTCCTTTTGAGTTGAATCTAGTTCATGAAATTTGAGTCGAATTGAGTTACTTGAATTTTTCTTTAAATTTAATTGTAATTTTTTATAATATTATGTTACACATTTGATTAAGTTTAAATGACTTTCCCTAATCGTATAAGATATGCATCTATATTTTTTTCATAATATTTTCCAAATGTATAAGTAAGATTTATAATATTGTTTTATAAATCAAATAACCCTAAAATTATAAAATATATTCATAATATTGTTTTTAAATAAGAGATTCTTTAGGACAGTATATTGATTAGAGTATAAAGAATTCAAAAGAATCGGCGAGAATAAAAAATTATATAAATAGCACACCAAGGGACCAAATTGAATAAAATAGGATTAAATTGCAAAAGGATTAAACCTAGTATTAATGATGAGAATTGAAGCTACACATGCATTCTATAATATTAGTCGAGCATATGGTTTAAATTCGATCAAAATGAACTTAAAATGAATGAATAATTGAAGAAATAAGAGAACAATTTAAAGTTGGGTGATTACTAAAAAATAAATTTCAAAAAAATTGAAGAAATAAGACTATTAATTATTAAATTATAAAATAGTTAAATTTATTTTTTTATTTTTTCAAATTAGTAAATCTAATTTGAACTCTGAAAATCAAAATTATAGTTTGAGTTAATCAGATTTGAATGACTTGAAATTTAATAAAATCAAGTTTTTTTTTTTTACTTTTACACTATGATTTTTTTTTTTAGTTTTACACATTTTAGGATCGTTAGATTGAGAGAAATCAAAGGTTGAGATTAACTCTTTGTTTTTTCCCCAATACATATATTCTCATTTTCTAATTTTAATCTCAACTTTTAATTTATCTCATCCAATAATCTTAAAAAGATATAAAATTAAAAGAGTCTTTTACGGTATAATTGAATTTTGTCCATATATATATATATATAAATAAATAATAATAGTTTCATGTAGTATAAATGTATTGTTGGGATTGTTTTCAGCACAAGGCCCCAAGAAATAATCAACCATCAGCACCACCACCACCAGCAGATCAAACCCCTGCATACAATATACCACCACCAACTGCTGTAGCTCCTTATCCGGCGCCGCTGGCTGGTTATCCCTCTCCATCGTATCCCGGCGCATATCCTCCACCCATGTATCATCCTGCACCAGACCCATACGGTGCATATCCTCCTCCACCGGGCCCATATCCACCGACCTCACACTATTATCCTCCTCCAGGTAACGTCGTAGGGTCATACACCATAATTTTATGGGTAAAGTACACAAATTGTCCCACGATTATAAGATAATGCTTTTTTAAGTCCTTCGACTATTAAAAGTTATAAAATGATCATTCGACAATAGAATGTTGCTTTGTTAAATCCTTGACTATTAAAAGTTATAAAATGGTCAATCAACTATTCATTATGTTTCAAACTCGTCACTTTCAATTAAAAAATTGGTAGTTGTCTAAGTTGGACGCTAACATGATGATTGAGATATGATGGTCATTTGAGGTTCTAGTAGCATAATTTATCATATCGCAGTCAACATATTAACGTTCAACTTAGAATATTGTCAGTTTTTTAACGGAAAATGACGAGTTTGGAACATAATAAATAGTTATGTGACCATTTTGTAACTTTTAATAGTCGATGAACTCAACAAAGCAACACTCTATAATTGAATGATCATTTTATAAATTTTAATAGTCAAGAGACTTAATGAAGCAATATCCTATAATGGGGGACTATTTCTGTACTTTTACTATTTGGATACTATTTTTATCATGTGTATAAATCTTATGAAATTATTTTTTTAAGCTGGTTGGTATCCACCGCGACCTTACCCACCCTATTAACATCGCAACGGCGATCCAACGGTTGAAGATGATTTGATCGGAGAAACGGATTGGAAAGTTCGGAATCGATTATTTGGTGT